GTCGAGAACCTACTTTGTGCTTTACATTTAGGGTTTAGGGCTCAGGGGTTAATATGGGGGGGGCCCTAGATAATTACCCGTACTATTTTTGGTGGGTTCTTATTATAGTATATAATACCCCAAAAGCCCTATTCTAATCATTAAGGCCCCTACATCAGGGGTTTACGGGTTGAGGGTTTTCGGTTTGGGGTTTAGGGTTGAGGGCTCGGGGTTTAGGGTTTAGGGTTTGGGCCGGTTGGGTTCCTTCGGCTTTTGCTTGCGGTGTTTATCTTGTGCCCAGGCTGCTAAAGCTCAAGCCTTTCAAGCACCTAAGCGCCTATCAGAACCTTTTTTTAACCCCCCTATAAACCCTAGAAACCCAAAGCCCGAAGCCCTACACCCCCTATAAACCCTATAATAAACCCTAAACCCCTAAACGCTAAACCCTAAAGCCCTAAACCGGCTATAAACCCTATAAACCCTGAACCCCTAAACCCAAAGCCCCAAGCCCCAAAGCCCTAAACCCCAAACCCTAAACCGCAAATCCTACAAACCCTAGACCCTAAAACCTAAACCCCATACCCTAAACCCTAAACCTTATACTAAACCTTAAAAACCCTAGCCGAAGCCCTAAACCCCCTATAAACCCTATAAACCCCAAACCCTAAGCCCAAAGCCCAAAGCCCAAAGCCGAAAGCCCCAGGCCGAGTTCCGGCTCGGCATGCCGACTTTGAAGCGCTTCGCCCGACCTTTGGACTGGGAGAATCTCAACGGATGCTGGGCGTTTTAGGGTTTGGGGTTTTAGGGTTTATTGGGGTTGTTATAAAAACACTGTTCCTTGGTTTAGGGTTTTAAGGTTTTTTTAGGGATGTAGGGGTGTAAGGTTTTAGGAGTTTGAGGGGTTTAGGGTGCAGGGTTCAGGGTTCAGGGGTTTAGGGTTAGGGATTACATGGTCCCAACTAGGTAATGGGTATGTAGGGTCTTTAGGAGTTAAACCCTAAACCCTGAAAAAGCTTAAGTGATATACGTTGTTTGCTTTTGTGTTTCTGGGAGCAGGATGTAGGGTTCAGGTGATAGACGCTGTTTATGTTGTTGATGCTTAGGGCGTATATATATATATATACATATGTATATATATATATATACATATATATATATGTCTGTCTGTCTGTCTATCTATCTATGTATGGGGTTTAGGTGATACATTTTGTTGTCCTTCTTGTTTCTGGGCTTTAGGGTTCTGGGTTCTGGGTTCGTAGTGTATGTTCTATGACTAGCCTTGTTGAAGAAGTGTATGGGTAGTTATCTACATGAGGGTCTCTTTTATAAGGTCCTTTTAATATTGATGCCGTACTTTGTTGGGGACCCACTTTGGGACTCTGCTTGAAAGAACTACCCATATATACCCTTTTATAGAAAGCTTTTTAGATCCCTTGACGGAACCCTTTAAAGGGACCCTAGTTTAGAGAACTACCCATATAGAACCCTGATAGAGCCCATTAAGGAAAATTTTAAAGGGACCCTAATGTAGAGAACTACCCATATACTTCTCGCAGTACCGACCAGCCTAGGATACCTCCGCCACTACGCACGGCAAGTGGGCAAAGGACGCTCGGCGGCCTGGGGTTGAGGGGTTCAGGGTTTTGGGGTTTTGGGGTTTAGGGTTTAGGGTTTAAGGTTTAGGGCTTTGGGCTTAGGGGTTTAGGAGTTCAGGGTTTTGGGGTTTGGCGTTCAGGGTCATGTGCCCAAATCATAGTGCTTGTCTGCCCGAGTGCTTTTACCCAGAAACATGTCATTGCTACGCCAGAATTTGGGGTCTGTTTGGATCGCGAAGCAGACATACATAGATTGCCGTTTGTTTGTGGCTGCATGCTGTTGTTGTTCGCTTGTTTGCTTGAGTTTTCGGGTTGACTAGTGTTGAACTTCCGTTCAGTGCATTTTGCCTAACCCTAAACTCTAAACCCTTAGTGGTGTGCAGGATTTTGGGTTTATCTAGGGCCCTGATCTGTGCTTGAAGCTTCTAGATCTGCCCTGCAGGACGAGCGGCTATAGTAGGCATTACGATAAAGACTGTACCATAAATCCACCATACCCGCTAGCTGCACGGGTATATTATAAGGCTTGCCATTCGCGCCTTCCGAAAACTGGCATGTTGTATGCAGCCTTCTGAATCCGGATTTACGGTTTAGGAGTCCAGGGCTTGAAGTCGGATCACTACTAACATAGAAGCCGTAGTGGTCCCTTATCGTAAATATGGCCCCTATTTCGAGCCTGCATCATAAGACCTGCGTATAAGTTTTCGGGGGGGGGGGGGGGGGNNTAAACCCCAAACCCTAAACACTAACTACTGAGGACTTGCTTCCGAGAAGCAGTCGCTGGGCAGTATCATGCTGCGCATGCCCGGAGAGTCGCGCAAGCTCCTTCAGGCCAGGTCATCTCGTATAAGGTGTAGGTTTTAGGGTAGTTCTGGTAATGCCGTAATCAAACCTAAATCCCTTAGCCCTAAACCTTTAGAAATTATCCTGTTCTTCCGGGTTCCATAATATAACTCGACTCTGGACAAGCTTATCTCCCAACTCAAAGCCCTCTTCTAATTATTATGAAGGCTCCTTTATCACATGTTTAGATTTTCTATTCAGTCAAACAGGCACAGAAGCATCTTAAGTCTAGGGATATTAGAGTGTTTGCAACTACCTTTTGCGACGGTTTAGAGTTTTGAGGAGTAGGCAGTCGAGTGCACGGTTTGCAGTCCGGGGGTCATAGTTTAGGTTTAGGATGTGGCCGTAGTTTCAGCTACATTCTAGGGAAAAGTTATGGCATGCCTTTTTAAGGAACTTTTCCCCGGCACCTAACTTCTATAATGTCTCCACCCTAGAACCTAAGCCCTAAATCGTAAACCCTAA